TTTTTCAAGGACTGATAGTAGTTATTTCTGTGCAGCTCTTCCCTTTTCTCCAGCAAAGTTACAGGAAGAAATCCAGTTTAAAGCCATCTCTAGCATGGTCCTGCTGTCATGTCAGGAGCATTTGGGAATCAGATGTAAGCAGATGGCTCCTTCCCAGTTCCCTCTCAGAGCACCCCAACCACCGAGCAGCCCAGAGTGGAGAGGAGCCATGGCCCAAATTGCCCAGCTCTTCACGCAGACAGCAGTGCCCGCTGGGATTGAGGAGCAGAGCTTCTCAAAGGTCCACTTCCTGCCCCATCACCCTGCATACAGGGAAACCTCCAAATGACACAGGGAGAAAAACTGATCTCCCAACCTAAAAGGTACCTGGGATGAGTTCATGTTCTCTAAAACCAAAGAATTAATTTTAGGAACAAACAGAGGTTATGAGCAGAATATATTTATTGAGGGAAAGAAAGCTCCTGTTCAAGAGAAGGACAGAAGGGGGGCCTGAGCAGGTTTTCCCCAGGAAGCTGTCTCTTCCAGGGACTTTTTTTTGGGGGGTGGGCACTGGCTGAGAATGTCTTCAGGGCATGTTTGGCTGGCTGGAGCTGGGGGGATGGAACCACAGCAACCTGAGGCTGACTGCTTTGTTGAAGCAGCCTCTTCCAGGGACTTTTATAGAGGAAAAACATGTGGTGAGGTGGGTCTAAGGTGGTGGAGAAGACATGGGAACTCGCTTTAGGTGGGCAAAAGGAGGGACAAACTATGGTTAACCAATGAGATTACAAGCACCATTGCTCAGGTAAAATTGATTGAGTCCAGTTCCAAATGGGGAAATGAGTCACGTAACAAGCCGGCATGAATAAGGGACAGGTTCTCTTCCTGTTGAGGGTTGAGCTAGTGATTCATTTGGGCTCTTTCAAGGTGATTGATACCTATTGGGACTATGAATCCCTGATGCCCATCCCTAGGGAAGTGTGTAGCTGTGTTTCCTCTTTTGTTTTGAAGTATGGCCCATATGGGAGTGTCTGTCTCTTCCAAGTTGCAAGGTCACCTTGTCTTCCATCTTGTCTCCTTGAGGGCCTGGCCCTGTCTGACTGCCTATAATATTTCTATCTAATTCAGCTGCCTACAACAATGTGACCTATGACGCCGGCCCATCGTCACCAGTACAAGTGGGAAAGGACTGGGGAGCCATGGGTCGTGGGAACTGGGACACTAGGCAATCAGAAAGCAGGGCAGGGACTGTCATGCAGCACCTCTGTCCCATGTCCTGGCCCACCTCTGTGATGGCCGTGTCTCTGGAAATGATGCTTAATGTGGAAATAACACTGCAGAAAGCACACAGCCAGGCTCCAGGCAGCCTGGCCCCGAGCAAACTGAGAAAATCCCCTACCTGCTGAGCTTCTGCATCCCCCCAGTACTTGCCTTTAAAAGAAAACGCAGCTCACAGACTACAGAGGAAGGAGACAGTATAAAAATCGATATGGAAAAACACCCTCACTCTTCAGAGCCAGCACTCATAAAACCAGACCCGGTGTGAGCGAGGGGTGGATAGGAGCTTTGCTCAGCTGCCGGGTGCAGGTTTCCATGGGACTTCCCAGCCCAGGGCAGTAGTGATTGTTTAGCCTCTCAAAATTCAAATTATCCTTTTCAAAATCAGTCCTTTCTCATCACTGCCACCAGGATGCCAAAGTGATTTCCCTCTAAGCTGCCCTTTAGAAGAGGGAGTGTGAGTTATCCTAGTCAGATAAGGTCGTTTTGAGTTTTTTGAGACGAAGTCTTGCTACATAACACACAGGCCTTGAACTCATTCTGTAGCCCAAGCTGGCCTTGAGCTCTCAGCAATCCTGCTGCAGCCTCCTGAGTGCTGGCATTCCAGGTGTGCGCCACTATACCTGGCTCAAACTAGATAAGTATAGCAAACACCTCCCAGGACACTTTTCCTGGGAGAATCACAGTGCACATTTACGTATCACCAGCCTGGAAGAATCGTAGTCATTCAGCTTCCCTCAAACATCCTGGAAGTTTCTGCCCTCCACACCAGCCACCTGCAAGGCACTCTCTGTGCCTGACTCCTGCCCGCACCGGCGCCCAGCTTCCCCCACGCCCCCAGGAGTGCACGGTGGCGGAGCACTGTGAATCCCAGCACAAGCCCTGTACTCAGTCCTTCCTGGAACTTGTCACCTTGTGCAGCCCAGCTCCACGCCTGCCAGCGCATCCTGTGCTTGGAATCCTGCTCATTTTGGACTCATATTCCTCTAGCAAAAGTTTCCACATGCACGAGAGGGTGGCCCAAGGAGAAGCCAGCGGCAGCCTGGCCATGCCAGTTCAGCCCCGCTCCTGCTAGCAGGCCGGGCTCATCTAGAAGTTCTGTGTGGTTTCTGAGTCGGTTTTCCATGGAGTGGACCAAAGCAATGGGAGGCTGTTATTACCTGATGCCGGCAGTGACTGCTGCTCGCAGGAGAGGCAGGGAGCAGGAGTGTGGAAGTAGGGGCTCATTAACACTCACTGCTTAAATTAGAAAATCCTTAGGGTGCAAGTTTAAAAATAGCAACCTAATGGCTTCTAAATTTGACTTTCATTGCTTTCCATAAATGCTGAGACTTCTAGTGAGCGCCGTCCACTTGCTTAGCTTAACAGGGTTAAGCAGACTTTGCTTTCCTGCTGTGTTCTTCAGGATTGGTGCCTTTAATGATAACCTTCAACACCTCCAGACAACCATCAGGCTACATGTGGCCTTTGGATGGGGTGGGAAGGCATCTCAGAGGTCTTCCGCAGAAGCCTGCAGCCCCTGGGATAGCGGGACAGCCCCAGTGTCCTTGGGAGGCCCCATCCTGCATGACCTATGAGTCCCTAGCAAAGCAGCCTAATGGTCACCCTGGCCGGCTAAGCCACTGCCACAGTAGCAAGGCTACTGTTCTGGGACACTTGGAGAAGTGATTCAGCACACCAGTGTCCACCCCTGGGTTTCCTCAAGTCTTTGTCACTTTCTTGTCACTGACATAATACACAACACCCACAATTTAAAGGAGAAGAGGGTTACTTTGGCTCACAGTTTGTGGGGGTTCAATCCATAGTCACTGGCTCCAAAGCAGAACAGCGTAGCAAGAAGGCCTGAGCTGCTCATCTCATAGAGTCTGGGAAGCACAGACAGGGAGGAGTCAGGGAGGGAGATGAACAATTTGGGGACACATTGTCAGTGACCCTCTCTTTCAGTTGGGTCCCACCTCCTCCCAGCAAGTCAGGTCTGATCTGCATTATCCAATCACCTGCTGAAAGCCCAACCCATGAGTGACGAAGCTCTACGGGACATCCAGATGTGAACCATTGTACCCCATGCTAACTTGGGCATGGTTAATTGGGAACGTACTATTGAAAGGAGGAAGGAAGCCAAGGACTGTACTAGCCAGATCAGATGTAAAGCAATCAGCCCCTGCATACCCAGATTCCTTGGTGCAAGGCAGGACAGTGACACTCCTGCAGCCTCAGGCAGTTGGCAATGAGTGGGTAATGGAGTCAGTGTTCTCACTACTCTTGGTGTACAGGGTGGATCCACAGCAGCTCTGGCTGCACAGATCCACGCACCCACCCTGGCCTTGGTGGGCCCCTCCTCCACAGTGACCACAGGATGACTGGCCCTGGGTAGAGTGGCACTTGCTAAGGGAAGGGAAGAAAACCATCATTCAGGGCCTAAGAAAAGCTAATGTCATAACAAAGCACATAGGCAAATCGAGCACATGTGTAAAGAGAACCTGGACCTTGGAACAATCATTACTTGAAATGACAACAGACAGCCTTACCCCCACAGCCCTCTTTCCCTTCCCTTAATTCTTCCTTTCTTCCTGCCAATAGTTCCTGAACATCTGGGACACACCAGGCATTTCACAGAAGGGCTTGGTCCTTGTCCCATGGACTGTCCCAGATTCTGCTATGCTTATAATTTCTTTTCCAAAAACCTCTAGCTGAGCTTTGTGGTGCACACCCACAACCCTAGAGGCTGAGAGGCTGAGGCGGGAGGACTGAAAGTTCAACCGCAAACTAAGCAACAGGGACAGGCGCCGGCTGCAGCCAAGGATGGTAACCTGAATCACCGTGACCTTTGGCACCCTGGTTGACAAGCTCTATGTCACATTCATCCAGAATTCTGCAGGCCGTGTCCGACCTGTGTAAGGGTCCAAACCTTTACCCCTCTCTCTGTATGGGAAAGGAACCCCCTTTGTAAAATGCTTCTTACTTACTTCATGCAACGGGCAGCCCGAGGCAATTTTCTAAATCATAACCAGCCCCATCAGTCACACTCAGTCCAAGTCAGGATGAATAACACCTTGTCAGTTTAACAGCAATCAGACGGCCAGATAGCTCAGAGGATTAAAGTGCCTGTTTAAGCAGATGCAGGGACAGGGCTTCAATCCCCGACGTGCTGTGACAGTCCCAACCCCAGAGCACACTGAGGCAGAGCCTGAGACTGGGCGTGGTGGCACATGCCTATAATCTCAGTGCTTGGAAGGCTGAAAGCAGGAGGAGCACTACAAGTCTGATCTGTATAGTGAGACCCTGTAGACCTTGTACTAAATACATAAAAAATAAAGTTTTTTAAAAAATTTAACAGTAACCACTGACCAAGTGGGGGTACAGCAGAAATGACTGAGGGTAGACGTAAGGTAGAATTTCCTGAACATAGGGCCTGTGGAATCAGAAACAGGGGCCTGGAAGTGCCCTTCCCGGGGGCCCCCTGACCCAGGTCCCCCACCCAAGAAAAGCAGTTTATTCCTCTTCCCAACGAGTGCTCAGGAACAATTTTGCAGAATATGTTAATGCTCCTACCAACTGCCTAAGGAATCAGTTTGGGAGACAGAAATAAAAGCACTGAGATAATATTTAACCTGTCTCCCCTTCTCTCCCTCCCCCAGCCTCCCTCGGCTTTATTAGGACTCCAGCGGGTGCCTGAGGAGCAGCGTGATCCCGAGGGAGCAGGGCACTGCCCGGCGGTGGTGGAACTAGGCAGAGGCCAGAGGCCATGGCCAGCACGGCCGTCCAGCTCCTGGGCTTCCTGCTCAGCTTCCTGGGCATGGTGGGCACCCTGATCACGACGCTGCTGCCGCACTGGCGCAGGACAGCGCACGTGGGCACCAACATCCTCACGGCCGTGTCCTACCTGAAGGGCCTCTGGATGGAATGCGTGTGGCACAGCACAGGCATCTACCAGTGCCAGATCTACCGCTCGCTGCTGGCGCTGCCCCGCGACCTGCAGGCAGCCCGCGCACTCATGGTCATCTCCTGCCTGCTGTCCGGCCTGGCCTGCGCCTCCGCCGTCGTGGGCATGAAGTGCACCCGCTGCGCCAAGGGCACACCAGCTAAGACCACGTTCGCCGTGCTTGGGGGCGCACTCTTCCTGCTGGCCGGGCTCCTCTGCATGGTGGCCGTCTCCTGGGTCACCAACGATGTGGTAGTGAACTTCTACAACCCGCTGCTGCCCAGCGGCATGAAGTTCGAGATCGGCCAGGCCCTGTACCTTGGCTTCATCTCCTCATCGCTGTTGCTCATTGGGGGCACACTCCTATGCCTGTCCTGCCAGGATGAAGCCCCCTACAGACCCTACCCGGCCCAGCCCAGGGCAGCCACCACCACTGCGGCCTCTGCGCCTGCTTACCGGCCGCCCACTGCCTACAAGGACAACCGGGCCCCCTCAGTGACCTCGGCTTCCCACAGTGGGTACAGGTTGAACGACTATGTGTGAGTCCTCCCCGCCTGGCCCTCCCCAAAGCTGCTGTCAGGCCCACTGGGTCCCCTGGCTGACTGCTGACTAACCAGGGGTCCCAGCATCAAGTTTACTTCCAGACTGTCTTTTTACCTAAGGAAATAACGTGAACATCAGGACATGCACGTGATTACAACATAGGGAAGGAGAGGGAATTAAGAAGACACCAAAGCTCTGTAAACCAAAGACTTTTTAAAAATTTTTTTGCTGTTTTTGTATTTATTATATATGTATTTATGTGGGTGACTTAATAAGAGTATCATAAAAGGTGAGACTCAGGTGGGTTTGTTTGTGGCACAGGAATAAACATTTTGGATGTGGTTGTTTATGTGAAGAATAGAAGTAGTTTCTGTTTCCAGATTGTTCCATACTGGGAATCACAGCCCCAGCCTGCTGATGAAAGGCCTGCTGAGACACAGCCAGGCAGCAGCCACCCCTGTGCATTATGGGAAAACCAGTCAGCCTAATAATACTCATCCAGCAGATGAGCTTGCCCAGGGGCAGTCACTGTACCCCTGCCTTAGCTCAGAGGCAGGGCAGAAGGCAAGGGCTTTCCTTGAAAAAAAAAAAAAAAGACAGGGGACATAAATCACAAAATAAGGACAATGTTATCTTCTACTATGAGAGCTAAGTTCTCACAGTTAAAGCAAAAGTGAGAAGGAGAAACCAGGCCCAGCAGACCTGGCAGCTCGGCTTTCCAGGTATTGGCAAGAGCCCATTTGGAGTCCTGACTGTCTTCAAGGGCTCCGGTGGGGTTGCAGTAGCTTCTTTCCCTGGGTGGTCCATTCCTAGTGTCATGAGAGTGGTGAGACAGTTCTCTTATAGCCGGTAGCAACTGCCTGGAGGCCGGGAGAGTCTGACAGCGTTAGGTTCACCGACGTCCTTTTCGGCTGTGACATAAGTCACAGGGAAGGGCACTATAAGTGGTCAGAGCACACAGCCCAGGGGTTGGACCTGCTCCAGCGGCTTCTCCAGTGGCAGCCTCTGCTCTCAACCTCAGACTCTGCATGGGGAGGGGAGCAGAGCACCCCACTCCAGAAGCCCTAAGCCTGAGTGTGGCCATGCTGTGTGCAGAAGGATGGCCATAGTGGCCAGGCACCAGCACAAGGAGGCCTGGGGACAGTACTGGAAGGAGAGACCAACACACCGCAGCTTGTGCCTAGGAGTGGCAAGGCCTGCGCCTTCTTCCTGGCTCGGAGGCAGGGACCCACAGACCATCAGTCCTCTACCAGGACAAGAAGCCAGGAGTGTGTGTGGGCTGAGCCTGCCCCCTCTGGTCCCTGCGGGCCTCACCAATCACACCAAATATGCTACACTGTCCCAGAAATCTCCCTGGGATGTCTAGCAGCACTGGGCAGCAGACACTGTAGGGACATGCATATATACTTATCTTTTCCATTTGGTACAACCTCCAGCCCCATGTAGCATGTGACACCTGTAGGAAGAGCAGGTGACACATACTGTGGATGTAATCTGATCACAGAGAAGCCCAGAAGCCTGGGTCTGCCACCCCATAAAGACTGGTGCTGAAATTAAAAAAGTCATCATTTGCTTTGATGAAGTAAGCAATTTTAATCTACTTATATTTATTCATTATTAAAAAATGAATAACTCTGAATCAATAAAAAGAGAAAATTTACAAACAGAATGACCTTTCAGCCCTTTCCTGACAATCACAGTCCAGAGTATGTTTAGTGAAAAGATTCTAATTAACAGAATAAAAAAGGAAAAGGAAAGAAAAATAACTTTCCTTGAGTCTTTTCTCTAGGAAAAATAAAATATGTCTACCTCAGCTCAGCGGCATAAGTACCTGACCAGTCAAGTACAAGGTCCTGAGTTTTATCTCCACTATCAAAAAAGAAAAAAAAAGGTCTCTCTCTTCTGCTCAGGAGGAAGATTAATAATAATGATCACAATTTATTGAGCATTTACTATGTGCCAAAAATACTTCTCATTTGCTAGTTTGATCACTAAATGAAAATTTGTTGAAAAATAGCTTGTTTTTCAGTACTAGGGATTGAACCCAGAAACTCATGCATGCCAGCAAGCTGATATTAAACTGAATTGCTCAGAATCATGGAGCAATTGGGTGAAAGACCCAGAACTTGAGCCAGGGCAGTCAGCAGGGGACACGTGCATTAACTCCAACAGGGAGGTGACCAACAGTCTAATCATATTCATATCCAGATTAAATCCAAATAATTGTGAACTGTCTCATGCTCACATTATCTCTTTCTGAACCATCATTCCATGCAGCTTCTGCTCTGGACTGAAGGAAAGATGACATCAGACCTAGTGGTCTCAGTTTAGATCCCCCTAGGAAACAGGAAGTGATGCACAGGAAGTGATGTCATGGTCCTGTTTTACAGCAGGCCAGCTAAAGAGGAAGTTGGTCCAAATAGAAGCTTGAGTCCCTCACTTGAGCAGCATGTAAGGCTACAGTTCCAAGGTGTTCTCCCCCTTCCTTGCTCTCATGCACACCCAGGACAAGCACCTTGGGTCCCAAGAGCACCTCTGCCATCAAGTAGATGCCTGCTTCTGCCTAGGTCTCCCCCACCAGGAGGGCTTGACCAAGGTTGTCTGGACAACAGAAAGGTCTCCTTCTGGAGGCACGACTCCAAATTTCAGAATGAAAAAGGTAACATGAGTCAGGCTCAGATGTTTTCTAGGAAGCCGCCACAAGAGGTATATATTACAATCTGCCCCTTGTGGGATTAAGAAATGATGTTTCTTTGTTTCTCTAAATCAAGTCAAATTTGGCTGTGGTCCAGACAGGTCTCAAGTCAGCTGTAGTTTTGTTCCCTGCTCCTGTTTCAGGAGTTCTTGGGCCTCAGCACTTACAGAGATCCTTAACTTAGGGTAGGATACCACCCTTCAGCCTTGAGGTCCTCTTTGGTTACCCCCTGACCACTGGGCCCTGAAGTCTTCATTACCCAGGAGCTCCCAAAAACTGCCTCCATGGATCCTGTGGATAGGCACTGGACTTGTTCACTTGGTGGAACCTTAGAGAAAAAAGTAACCTTTTCCCAGGGGTCTCTGGAAAGCCGCTTCCTGAACTCACCACAGCTGCAGCCCATGGGAATGGCTTTCCTGAGTTTGGCGCCTACTTTTGTTGTAGGCAGCCAAGTTAGATAGAAATATTAAGTTCAATCCCCGGTTCCGCAAAAAAAAAAAAAAAAAAA